CCCCTAACTGTCAATTTCAAAAACCCCAGATCAAATAGCACAATCCCAAGGGAAGATTAGACGAGGATTACCTTGATGATCGAAGACCAAGTAAGGAGAACTGGTTCCTACTCAAGGTTGAACACTCCAGGTTGATCAAACCTAGCTTGAATGTTCCGTATTTGCAACCTAGATCAATAATTGCAAAGTTTATAAACCCTTAGTCATCACGATAAAACACTCCAAATTCATTATGTGAAAATTGATCGTTCTGTTTACAAGATTAAATCCCTAATCTCAAAGGAAGTTAAAAGACTATACTACCCCCAATTAGATGTGACATAGTTAAATTAAAAAAAAAACACCTAAAAATTGATAAATTAAATGCCCACATCATTGTGCTAAAAATATAAAAGGCCTAAAAAATGAGATAGATAACCATTTAAAAAAATAATAATAAAAAAATAAATAATAACTTTGTAAAGTTCCGTCATCTTCTTCTCGTGTCTTCATTTGGCTTCATCTTCGTCTCGTATATTCATTTGGCACCATGAATAAAGTTTTGTCCCATCTTTATCCTCTTGATGTCCATTAGTGGAGCTCACTACTRCTTGGATGTGAGAATCAAATRCTAGCTGTAACTGTTTGGCCCTTGAACGAGTCAAGACTAATGCATCTTGGTTCATATAAGATGGAATTTGTAAAAAAGTATTTTGGAAGAACAAAAAAATGTGGGAAGTGGCGGAGTTGAAGGGAGAGAAGAAAAAAGAGTACGAGAGAAAAAATTGCCTCTAAATAGTGGGATCATTTAAATAAAAATGACAAAATAAATAGAGACAGTTTCTTCTACATAGCCACATTTATAAGTATAGATATAGATTGGCAAAGAAAGAATGATAGGCCGATTTGAGCAGTTTCCATTTTCGCCTTCTATCTCCCAAAATGAAACAAAAAATGTGGTACTGTTTTTAAGAGATTCATTTTCTTCTAGTCCAATATCAAACATTCAGTTAGATAATAAGTACATTATCCACTGAACTGAACTATATTTGAATTGACTCGCTAAAAGGTTTAACGACGGAAAATGATTTATCTTAGAAAATGATTTGAAATAAATATAGATTAAATATATTTGTTTATATGTTAGTTTACTCATACAATACTTTAATCTTAATTTATCAATTAAAAATTAAAATATTCACAAAAGATTAAAATCATTTTCTTCCGTGAGATAAATTCATTTGAAATACGCTGAAACTAGAAATTCCTCAAAATTATGAGATACCCAAAGACCAAAAAGATMTAAATAACAGTTGGAACAAAATGCTTTTCGCATGATAGATGTTAGAAATACTTGGATCAAGTTGGTCCACCAAAGAAAATGATCATAAATTATCTCATCATCGACTAAAAATTAATCTCCAATACTAAAAAAGAAGTGTTTGTAAAAATTCAGTAATAGCTGCTTACAATAAAGTTTGAAAAGAAAGATTTCGAGTTCCTATCACCAAATCACCCATTTTTAGAGACTTCCTTCACTCCACAACTTTGCTCATAAAAGGAAGCCCACATTACGCCCATAAGGTACAACCTGTGAAAAAAAATGGCAAAAGCTAAATAGAGGAGACTATTGAAAATCAAAAAGTTGAATCACCAATCAGACTACATCAGTCGAACAGGAAAAAAATTTCTTTACCTTGATTCTGCCCCAATTTTGATTCCGCAAGAACCTTCATTGCAGTGGGAGATGGAGAATGCGAAATTGCAATTAGTCCATTGGGCAATTGCCTCATCGTTTCCTTATCACTGGATCTTTCTCCTCAGCCTTGGAGATGGTGTTAGATTATCCACGACTCTTCGTTTGCGTCTCGTTTGAAACTGCTTCTTCCTCCTCTTCCACTAGCCTCACAATACAACTACAGAAACAATCAAATGGAGGAAAAATCAGGAAGTTGGGATCTAAAATTCATTCTGGACTTTTCAATTGTGATGAAATGATGATGGTGGTTCTCAATGATTATCTTTTTCTTTTTTTTTTGATAACCACGAGTCGGAGCTTTGCTCCCCTATACCCAAAGACACTTGTGCCCGYCCCAAGGTCCGAACTCGGTAGACATCAAAGTTTTTTGTATTAAGTTCAACAGAAGATTCAAACCTGAGACCTCTAAGCCAGTATGACCAAGAGACTCCAAGCCCTTGTCAATTGAACTACCCTTTGGGAACGATGTGGTTCTCAATGATTATCAAGAACAAAAATGGGGAAATGAGTTGAAATATAGAAAAGTGAGCACCCGCTTACCAAATTTTAGAAAATGACTTYCCCCGCCTGATTTTGGCTTGGACAACATAGCACTTTTTCATAAATGCTATAATGAGAGGTTATATAGATAAAGAAATTTGTTGTAGTGTGCAAAGCCCTCCAACATAGGATTGTCAAGAAATACTAAAGTTTTATTTTTATTTTATTATTTTTTAATGGGAAACAATACTTTCATTGAGAATAATGAAATCAATGAAAAAGATACAAGAGCTTGTACATAGCCTAACGTGAGATTTAAACCTTTGTCTCCATAGTCTAAAGTCTTTTTTCGTTGTCCCAATGTCACCGGATCAACCCAGGGTAGTTGATGTTCTGGTGGTCTTGATTGAATGTTGACYGTACATGTTTGAAATTAATCCAAAACAATAATAGAATGTTTCATTCTGCAATTCTTCATGACTCAACATAAGTTTCATTCTCTATTCTAGTTTTGTGGGAACCCAAGGAACGTTTTAGAGCACAAGTAGTTTGTATGGCTATATAATTATATTATCAATATAAACTAAATGAATAAGAAGATAAAGAGATTACGATAATGCTCTCCCCCATTTGTCTCAATTAGGAAAAAGCCACAGAAAAATGGTTTATTTGAGACAACTTCAAGGAAGCAACAAAATGTATTATAGAAGCTAGAAAGTTAACATTCAATCAAAGTTGATCTAATCAAAGTTGTATGACAAGTTGCTCTATTTCCTCACTCCTCAGGTCAGAAACTGAAATTATGAAAACAAAGTTAAGATATCAATAATAAAGTTCTGCAAACTGCATTGCCAAGCTAGACAAAAAAAATTCTATCAAACAAGAAGTTAGAACTCGAAGGATTAAAAAAGGACAGCGAATGTTAACGAAGGGGAAAGAGAAAGAGGGAGAAGTTCCAGTACTTTAAGATACTAAAACTGATGAATAATCAAAGGTTAAACAACAGCTAGTTAAGTAGTATTCCTAAAGCCATGCATTTCAGTTTCAACTACTTGCTGCAATTTATTTATTTCATACTTGAATCTTCATCATGTAAGGTAGTTGGATCTTTTCTTCTATTTATGTCTAAACTAAAATATTATGTTAATATCTTCTGAGATCTGCTTCCTATGGATGTTACTCAAGGACAAACTTCGCCTTTATACATAGAAGAAGCCTGGCTGAAGCCTGAAATTTAATGTAAACATGTTGGAACTTTTTTCTTCCGTAAATAATTCTATTAAACACCTAGAAGAGAATAAGAATCACCCTAAAGCACTACATCATACCAATGACGAAGCAACTGCAAACACTTGTAAGTTTGGCAGGTGGAGCTCGTATTTGCAAATCTTGTTTTAACGCTGTTGACCCTATCATGGATCATGGATAAATGTTCGATAACTATAGTTTGGAAGCCAAAATGATCTCCTATGACTGTGAACTTTAGAGGACATTTAACTCTTATCTGCCTCACATCTTCTCTACTTCTATTTTGATGGTATATTCTTTATAAAATGCATTTCCTACATATTGTCACCTCTCTGTCTCAGCTAGGTCATGATGTTGACCTAAACCTACTTTCGGACAAGGGTTTGAATTCATGAACATACTTCTTGGAATCCTCTAAACCCTCGGTCCTGACATCGAATTCCTTTGAAGGAATTCTGACAAGATTTGGGTTGAAAGAAGAACACTTGGAAGAAACAGAGATGATAACTTCCTTGTGGAATTGGAGTTTTCAATTGACTGTAATAAGGGTGTACACGGGTTGCAAACCTTTATTTTCTTTTTGAAGACGAGAGAGACTGACGGCAGGCGAACGGAGAACGGCGAACAGCGAACGACGGACCGGCGGACGGCGGACGAGCCTGAGAAGTGAGATCGTGGGAGACAGATGAGATGAAGGGGGCGGCGGCCAACCCTAATTTCTAAAAGGCCTATTCGGTACGGTTCGGTACGGTTCGAGATAACCTATTCCGACCGAACCGGGTGATACAGACATTATATTTTGTATTTTATTTATGTTTATGAAAGCAGAAATTCCCGGCTGGCTACAGATACGAATACGGCCAATTCAATTATTTCTATTTTTCGTTTGTGATAATTATAAAAAAAAATTATACTCTAAAAAAAATATATATATATTTATATCTATATCTATACTATATTAAAAAGGTAGGAKGKAGGAAAAACATTTTTAGACACTTTTGCCTTTTACTAAATTTATAAATTTACAAATTATGTCATTAATATATTATTACAAATATTAAATTAATTATTAATTATTAATTATCAATACTATAAATGCATGGAATATAAAAGATTAGAATGCAAAAAGTTTTCCAACAACATAAAATTAATTTTTTCTTTAATTAAAATTCATACTAGAATTTCAAGAGTTTTAGAATTTGAAAAGCTTTTGTAACGTTTTATACTCTACTACTATAAAAATAGGTTTTCTTCTACATGTTTTTCACAAGTTTCAATATTTTTTTATTCTGAGTTCCTTGAAACATCTCTCAAAGATGATTCAATCTTAAAAACATCTCGAGATATTTGTGACATATTAATCAAGTTGCAAGAGAGGCATATGTTGAATCTACATATCTCGAATACTAGGTTTGTAACATTACCATTCCACAATTTTACAAAGTTGAATAATAGTATATGTCAAGCAATCTGAGCATATTTATTCTAAAAGATGAGTGTATAGTAAGTACTTGGATTTTTTTTGTTACTATTGTTATTTTTCTAATTAGTGTGTTTTTTATTTGGAATGTTTCTTTTTTTAGCAATTTTATTTAGTTTAGGATTTGAACTTTTTTTTTTGTTACTAATGTTTTTTATTGTTTAGTGTGTTTTTTTTTATTTGGAATGTTTTTTTTAGCAATTTTATTTAGAATATTTGTTTAAAATATAGATAATTACAAGCTCATGTTCTTATTGTTGAAAAAAAAACAATCATAGAAGCCAGTATATAAAAAAATGTTTAATTAATAAATTAATTATAAACAATAATTTGTATAGAATCGTAAAAGGTGGAATATAAAACTTTTGGTCATTTTATTTTCTAATATTATAATTTGAAGAATTTTTCTTTAATAATTTTAATTATAATATAAAATTAAATCAATAAAATAATTTATTTTTAGTTAAAAAATTCAACATATACAACAAAATGTCAGCCCTAAACAAATATTTAATAAACAAACAAAATATTAAAAAAATAAAATAAAGGACCCATATTAGGTTGAAATAATTTAAAAATAAAAGCACCAAATTTTATTTTTCTCAAATTAATTTTCTCTTTCTAATAAACTCTCTCTCTTAAAGGTTAGAATGTAAAGAGTTAGAAYATGGACGAGTTTGTCTCTTTATTTCTATGTTAAAAAGTTATGACTTATTTTGAATTATAATTAATAAGGAATTTCAAAGTTTCGTAACTTTTTATTTTCTACAACTATATAAAGAGTTTTTTTTAAACTCTTTCTCCCAACTATTTCTTCATCAAAACTTGAGTTTCTTTTCTCTTTCGGTATGTTAATTTTCTCCTTTAGTCAATGTCTTGTGTTTTCTTATATTTAGTTAGATTGTTTGATTGAATATTCAACTTTTTTAGTTATTTTTTTTGCCAAACGACTCAATGAACCGGAAAAAGGAAATGGAAAATGAGTGATAAGATCGAATCACCTTGGACGGATCCACTTTGGGATGACACTTGATAACCACGAGGACTCTCTTAATGACCTCCTCCTTCGTAAGGTGATCATCGTGTAATGAAAATAGTCGGAGCAATCCATCAGAACATGGCTGCGGTCGGCATTCCTGGCGAGCTAGGGCAAAGAATTGGATCGAAACTCGAACATGGCAAAGAACAGCTGCCCTGAACGCATTTCTATCTCTCACTATTTTTTTGTTTTTTGTCATTTTATTTTTAAATGACTCAAATAAGAAATTGAAACAAAGTTTTATTTACTTTTATGCATGGTTATGTTTAGGGAAAAAAAAGATGAAAAATCCATGAATATGTGATCTTTTTAGAAATTCTTTTTTTAAGAAATCGCAGAGTAATACTTTTAGAGACATTGTTTTATGAGATAAACATTGAAAATACGAAAAAACTTGGTGAAGTAAACATTTAGAGATAAAAAAAAACCAAATTAGATTATAAATTTTAACTATTTAATTAAATTTTATATTTTTAAACATTGAAATAAAAACTATAAAATTTCACGTGCACTACACGTGTTTCTTACTAGTATTTTAAAATTTATTCTTCCSTAGTGGGAATTGATGACCATTTCATAGGTAATGTTTTAATAAATAATTAAATAAATATAGTAACTAATCAATGCTTTTATTCTTGTTTAATTTTCATGGTTCTTCTTTCAATTTTTCGACCTATATTATTTTTTTAGGGTTTAGAGTCTACGATTTAGAATTTAGAGTTCAGGATTTTATATATTTATAAAAAATATATGAATATGAGTAACTTGGTAATCTTCATTTTCTAGCAGTCTCATTTCTTGTTTTTTGAGAAACATACTTGTTTGGTAATCGATCCTGTTTTTTATATCTAAAATTTAAGAAACATTTCGAGAAAATGGCAAAACTTTGTAAACAACAAAAAGTAGTTTCATTCTTCCCATTTTCGTTTTTTTATTCCCTATCAAGCAGCGGTTTTAGCCTAAATATTATATCTTGTACCCTGTTGTTTAAAATTGAGCTTCAGCGTACTGGTGCAAGTATATGACCAAATTTCACAACCTCCACTACTACGAAGTTAGATTCTCATATTAAGCAAATCATTATTTATTTTTCCTTTTTATATTTTTGTAAACATAAATATATTTTCTATTTTTTAAATTTAAAATTTTTTGAAATTTTTATCTTTATTTAAGATTATTATATTTTGAACTAAAAAAAAGATATATTTTTAAATAAAAAATATTTTAAAATTTTAGTCTTTATTTAAAGCTAATAATTTATTAAAAAAATTTATATTGTAAATTATCTTTTTCTTAATGTATTATATTATTCGAGTATATGCTATACCTTTTTATACTATATCTACTAAATTTCATTTTAACTAAAAATAAAAATAAACCAACTTGAGTTAAAGATATATGTAGCCGTTCAAGGAGTCGTGGATTCTAATCCCCACTCTTACAAACTGTTATATTTAAAACGTATTCCTATTTAAAACGTATTCCTATTTCTAGATCTAGAAAAAAAATTAGAAACTAGAAATAAGAAATGAGATCGAAATGGAAAACAATAAATAAGAATGTTACGAAATGAGTCGGTTAAGTTTCCTTTTATGGAAGAGAAATGGACTCATACCATAATCAACTCTATTATTTTAAAATTGTAAACCAGTTTCTATATTGTTACATATCAATATATCATTAAATTTACTTTAACATATCTGCTTAAGTTTTTGAGTTGATTGATCATTTAATCATATAAATTAACATCCTATCAGAGTCGGAGGTGTTGTGTTTCCTATTTATTATTTATTTCTACTTACTGGGTCTTGTGCAATTTTCCAATCTCAAAAGTGATTGGAGTGTTAGATAAACATATATGATTAAATTTATCTTACCCCGACAACTTACCATAAAATTGTAAAAGAAACTCAGAATTCATACGACATAGTACATATAGAGTAACATTAGAGATTCAAACATACATTAATTTCAACACATTACATAACTAAAACTGAGAGTAACGATACATGAGCTAGCGCTTTTATTATTGCAGGACTCGCAAGTTCAAGTTGAAGTAGAGACGGGAAACCATATAAAATCAGTGAGCGGCATAATATGGCAGATGGGGAAGGTTCCTGGTATGGTATTGAGCACTTTAAACGAGGGATGTTTTGGGTTCCATTCCGATGTATCCATGCAGCAAACAGCCAGAGCTTGAACCCGATCTCCATTTTCCCCTTCCACTTTAAAAGAATGTGGGAGATGATGGTTCCAATTTATAGGCAAGTAAAGCATTGTCAGCTTGGTTCAAGTTCCATTGGTTGAGGCTGTATATCCTTAATGGAAGCTGGTTTTTTCTGAAAGAATGTGGGAGATGATCGTTCCATTTTATAGGCAAGTAAAGCATTGTCAGTGCTTGGTTCAAGCTCCATT